ACTGTAGAAACATGGTGGTTTAGCATTACAGACTCTGTACAGGAGAACCCCCTCCCTAGATAAAAAGGAAATGAAAACACAATATATATTACATTCAGGTGATTATGAGAACATACCTAATTTTATGTTCCATTTCTACCAATAGATCATCCTAAATTCATTTAACCTACATTTAATTTAATCTAACCTAAAATGTACATAGTGAACAATCTAAAGGGCGCAGGGAACAACAAAACATAAAAAATAAATAAATAAATGCTCTCATTTCTTCTACTGCTTTCTTGTCATTGAGTTACTTTAACAAATTCATCTTCAATTAAATATGTGGTTTAAAGGTCGCTTCAACACATCAAACTGTGTGAACTGCACATGATTTAGAGGCTGCAGAGATGACAGTTATACAGGCTAGTACCTTTTAGCAGTTAATCATTTTATACCATTATTCACAAATTTAGTTACTATTTTTATGGTACAACTCAATTGCTAAGATGATGATTTGATGGAGCATCAAACTGGATTTTTAATTAAAGGAAACAGAAAAAAAAATGGGTCACTGCTGTTTGTTTTGTTTACTGCAGACATGCGTTTTTGTTTGTCTTTTTTCCTTTCAAAAATTACAAATTTGTATGTTTTGTGTTTTATATGGTAAAACATGTCAGCTTCTGGTCTTAAAGGTCGAGTGTGTAGCATTTAGGAGGCTCTATTGGCAGAAGTGGAATATAATATTCCATTTAGTGTATAGTCCTTAATAATGAATGGAAATAAGAATTGTTGTGGGTTTTTTTTATTACCTTACCTACCTACAACAGTGGTTCTCAGACTTTTTTATTAATTTTTTAAAATATTTTTTTCAACCAACCAAAACAGCACAAACCAGTTTTGGTAGAAAAAGATGCTTATAAAAGTACAGTACAGCGATTTATTAAGGAAGACACTTTAATGCTTCATTTGAAATATTTAGAATCCATCACTGTCATGCAATAAGACAGCATTGTAGTTACACTGAACTGCATCTTTTTTTAAACAAAATCTCTCTTTATTGTATTCTATAAAAAGGGAGACAATAAGTCCACTGACAAACAAGCATAATCTGAACAATTACAAAACTAAGAGATAAAAACAATGAAACAAAAACAAGACAAACACTTAAAACAGAAAATACATGTCATTTTAAATGTAAAGTACCACCTGCAGTACTCCAAAGTACCCTTAGGGGTACACATGCCTACATCTGAGAAACTCAGCCTTTTATATCTGCACACTGCAGGTCTCCTTTGTCCACTGGAGGGGCAACCTAGAAAGCACTTTATCATATTTATTTTTTGATGATTTATCTACCAAAAGGGCATCCTAGAGGAAACTTTTGCAGCATTTTTTAGAACACAACAACCTAATCCACCAGTCCCTAAGGGGACATATGAAAGCTGACGCTTATTCTCATTGTCATACACAGCTGTGTATGAATCATAGGCCTACAGAGATGAGTAAACAGGTTTTTTCATGTGATTTTTTTGTGAGTGTGAATAGAACTAGGGTAAGTCATTTCAGGGTGTACGTGTATTGGAAATAATGAACCTTTTCACAGACATTTGAAATATAATAGCCTGAAAAACACAGATGGATGCAATGGCTACAAACAAACCTTAAAGCTGGCTCACATAAATGGAATGCAGCCTTCGTTAAAGGACCAGTAGGATTTAGTGGCATCTTATGGAGAAAGTTGTTACTAACTGCTCAAGTCTGTTTTTGACGACCTGGAAGGTAAAAATAAAAAACAATGATTCTCATATTCAGGTGATTAGAAACTAATGAAAACATACCTATGAATATTATATTATATTTCTGCCAATAGTTCCTCCTAAATGTTACACACTGGACCTTTAATCTTGTTAATTACACCTGTGCTTTTCCTCCTTTGACATGACTTAAAAATGTGAAGTGTCTATTGACAGACTCTGTTGTTGATGAGTAAAGTTGAATAAAATTGAATGAAATAAAAAAATAATCAATTATTAGAACTATTACAAAATATTATAATGGAAAGATTGATCCCGGCTGTATCGTGGTGGGCCTGTGTCTGACCCAGGTTACCAATATTAATAATAATAATAATAATAATAATGTCCGGACTGGGCAGCAGGTAAGGATCTGGAAATGGAGAGCTTGCTGCTTTGTCACCAGGATAAAGGTTTATATTCCCAAATCCTTACAACCCTTTGGATTTATTTAACGCATAAAATATGTACACTGTCAACTCAAATCAACTGAAACACCCATTTCACATCTTTTTTAATTCATATAGGCTACTGAAATAGTGTCAGTGGGCTCCCCTTTACTAAATATAGGTTATCACAACACACAGGCTCTCTCCCTCTCTCTCCGGATCGTACCATCGCAGGGATGAATTTTAACTTGAGCGATGAAAGCTGGAGATGAATACTTCATCTGTGACCCACATAATGGCGATATATCAGGCTCGGTAAGCGGAGCTCGGTCGTTGTTACAGCCCGCTCCTCCGCTGTGCGCTCCCGGTGCGGCGGGAGCTATTACCGGCGCGCCTCCCATCTTCCTCCGCCTGGATCCGACTCCTCACTCCATCTCGCTTCCAGGAGGAGGAGAGGGAGAGGGAGAAGGAGAAGCGGCAACCACCGAGAGACAGGCGGCGGAAACGGAAAAAGTAAGTGGCTCGCGGGGGGAAATGAGTGGAAATGTAGTCGGTGTTTCTGAGGGAGGCACTGGGTGTACATGAGTCCGGGCTCAGTTGGAAAGTAGAGCTAGTAACTTCAGCTAGCAGTATTTCGTTACTCGTTACATTCGGCTTGAGGCAACCTCGAGAAAGTTACTGTTTTCTGCTCTAAACTTCGGCTGGAGACTGTGCACAGTCAGGCTAGTGGCGCCATAAGGGCACTGTAGGCTAACATTAACACTGTTTATAAAGAAGGTGACACTTTATTTTGCCTTGTTGCTAGCTGTGGCTTTAATTAAAGTACAATAGTTAATCCATTAAGCCTTTATGAAGCCAGCCACTTCACTGTGGATATAGTACAATGTAAATGTTGCTCCTGTAATTGGCTTTGTGTGTGACACTGTGATAATTAGCCGCCTAAAAGCCTCCATTACAAATGTACAAAGGATAAACAACAACATGCAGTTGTCTGAATAGTTCCTCCCAAAGTGAAGAGCAGGGAGAAGAACATATGGTAACTGAACACACTGAGAGTGATGGGGCTTTATACTTGAGGGGTATTAGTGATATGGTACCAAATAAATCAGAGACACCAGCAATATTGTAGTAGTAGATAATGCAGATAATCATCTATCTATCTATCTATCTATCTATCTATCTATCTATAGATAGATGTACTTTAGTCATCCCAAGTTCCTAAATATCTATAGAATACACAATATGCAGAATATCCTAAAATACAATACAAAATATAATTAATAGATACAATAATAGAAATATACATACAAAATGAATTGAAACATATCTGGATGGTTTAAATAAGACCTTGGCTGATATCTTTCTCTATAATTCATCATGCTTACATTCTTACATTCAATCTAAATGTGATACTCATCTCCCAAATGACATTCATTCGTTGCAGAGGTTGCAGGTATCCAGCCCTTTATATCTTCCAGTGACCTCAGGTATCCTGGTGTTGTTGACTTCATAATTACATAGCCATCATTTAGTCAGGAGTTATTGCATTAGTTTCAGCTCTGTCTACCTCACACACTGCTAACTGTGTCGAAGTCCCTGTTTGAATATTACTGGATTGTTTACATCATTTGTCATAGTTCAGCAGGTTTTCAAACTCCTTCCCCAGCCCATGAAATGATGATTGATGATGATGGATCTATTGTTACAGTCCTCATTGCAAGAATGACAGTGAATATAAAGACCATCCAGGCCTTATCTGAAAGGTCACTTACTCAATATTCACCACACTTGTCTGTCTTCAGCCCGACTCGGCACTGATACAGGAGGAAGAATGACATTTCTTCCTCTTCCTTGCTCCCCGGGGGAGGTTGTCACTCTCCTCGACTCTCGCACTTTGTTCCAAAGTTAGAAATTCTCAACTCAAGTTACAATTGCATAACAATGTAAAGTAGACCTTTGTACTCCAGTGCAGCCTATCAGAAACTCCAGGGAAGACACATGGACCCCAGCTTTGCTCAACAACTATTATATTAATTGGGGCTGCACAATTGATCGCAATATTATCGAAATCGCAATGTGGCATATGCAAATGGAAGAAAGCTGCAATGTTTGGATGAAGGTAGAATGTGTGAAAAAGCAGCATTATAATGAACTATTTGGTGCTGCAGAGATGCACTGGTCTACATATCTTGTTCTCCAGATTTAAGAAAACATGTTTGTTTGGTACAAACCCCAACAAATGTCACATCATCAGGATTTTAAACGTTTTTTTTCCGTGAAAATGTATGATGCAAAGATGATCATTCCCACACTAATAATGAATCATATCGCAAGGTCTGTCAAAATAATGGCAATATGATGTTTATACCACACCGTGAAGCCCTAACATTGTTGTTATTTGGTAAAGTTAGCTCACTATTTAATACAGAATTTGAGCAGCTTTGTATTTTAAAGCTGCATAAATCACTTTTTAGCAACAGATGGCAGAACTCTAAAGAAGATGACACACAGCTCATTGTTATGGCTAACATGTTTGCAAAACAAATGCCTACTTACACAGCAACATTAGCATTTTTAAGGTGTTGTATTTTTGGCCCCAGATGTATTTAAGTCCAATAATAACTTTCCTTTGGTCTTCACCGACTCCTGAGAAAAGTAATTTGCTCTGTAGCTGCCAGAAGTTTAGTTTTCTTTAGTTTGTTAGTTGCTGAATGTGTCTGTCTGCTGTTGGGTGCTGTGCGGGCAGACTGCAATCATACTGTATTATCTGCTGCAAATAGAGTCGACAGCGGGGTTGGGTATCATTTGAAGTTTTTCGATACTAGTGCCAGTCTGATACCTGAGTTTTGGCACAAAACCAAAATGATACTTTTGATATTTGATGGAGAACTTTAAACTGTTTTGCTATAAAATAATTTTTGTTCATTGCTGTCTAAACACCAGCAGCCATATGAGAAATTCCAAAGACAATAGACCAAATACGGATTTAACTCAGAAACTACCAGATCAAAGAAAAAGTAAATAATAAAGCATCAGAGGAAACATTCAGTAGCAGCTTTTCCTTACAGCTGCAGACACAGAATCAAGGTTAGATACCCGGTGTTAGCTGAGAGCAGTGAGATAAACAAACAGTACATTTTTGGGCCAGAAAACCAAAGAAATGCCCTTAAAGAGGCTAACAAGCGCAGTAGAGCTGCACTGTTGGCTGATCATTCTCTGTGGTGTAGAGTTTATATTGTCATCTTCTCATTTTACAGCTAACTGAATCGTAGTGCTGAGAAATCGTCCAGGGTTTCCTGCCGGGGATTCCGACCTGAAGGTACAGTAGTGTCACTGATTTTCTTCTAGTGGAAGAGCCTCACCTCCTCACCCCACATTTTCCTTTCCACTCCCCCCTCCTCGTCTTTACTTCCTGTCCTCATCTTTTCGTTTCAGCAAGCACTGATTACTTCTTTCCGTACACACTCATAATTGCAATTTCAGTTGCTATGCACAGTGTGCAGTCGTTATGTTAAATCAATGCGGTTCGATGCCGGCCTCATTAACGTTAGCCTGCTCATTGGCTCTTAAGACGGGATGGAGCTCCCTCCTGTCAAAGTTAGACGGAAGTTTCAAAACTGGTATAACGTACAGTATGTCTGTCAGGAAGAGATGGCCCATCATCTCCACACCACTGGCTGACAAGGTGAGTGACATTTTCAAATTTTGAATTGGCAGCAGAGCTCCAGAGGCAGTTTGACTGACAACTGGTGGCACAGACTTTGTAACATGTCTTTTAGTATAAAACAGTAAATGACATTCATTTATTGTATACTTGTTGAGAATGCACTACTTATATTAGTAAGAATTGTATACTTTATATTATTGGTATAGACTAAAATGTACACTGTGCTATGCATATCATCACTATGCTAAGTAAAGTAGAGTCCCTGCTAACACTGTAGTATGCATTAGTGGTATTGGTAAATTAGCCATTAGCATTATGAAAAATGTATAGCAGCTTCAAGAGTAAATATTCTTAAATGAAATGTGCGTATTTTTAGAATTTCAATGTATGAATTATTGTTTGTTCTGATGTGGATTACAAACTTTAATCTGAACTTGAACTTTGTAGTTTTATATGAGAGATTAGTAAAAATGTGTTAAAAATATTATAGATATAATGTATTCTTTTTTTTTATCAAGCAGAGACTACTTTCCCTGTTTGCACAGAGAGCTGAACTGAATGGTTGGACACTGTGTGCAGCTAAAAATCACTGCATGGCTTATAAATTCTTGGTTGCTCAGCAGGTCCAAAAATAGGCCTGGCTAGATCAGCTACAGCTAATAACAAAAACCGTTACAAACCTTAATTGCTTCAGGTCAGTAGTTTGGATAGTCGTAGTGGCCTGCTTTTACTGAAGTGTTAGCATGCAGTACTGGAACTGATCTACAGGGACACATAAAGGTATTGTTTATGCACATACCTAACTGGAGGCAAGCAGCCTGGTTACTGTGTATCTGTATTACAGCTAGATAAAAGCCAGCCTGCAGAATACACTGCCCAGACCTGCTGTCTTATGATCCACACACAGAGGAGGTAAACACACACTTTGTTTTCTATAAACACACCTCCTAACCCTGAAATAACTCTTTAGAAAGAAAAATGCCCTCACTATGCACAAATGCTCTGAAAGTCAACCACTCAAATCTTAAAAGAGAGGAAGTACAGCTAACACACACATAAAAGCATAGTGCAGTGAAAGAACCGTTAGGGAGTTAATTCCAATTCTGCTGACAGTAGATAGGTCTTACCATTCTCTCTCTATCACATAGTAATTACTTATAAGGCCACAGGGATTATGATGTCCCCAACTCCCCTCTGTAATAGAGCTTGTGCTCCATATAACCCGTTAGCTTTGCTACCCAGTCCCTATCACCCCCCTCATTAAGCTGTCCCTCCCTCTCATTATGCCCTCCATGTAATATCCTCCATCCATTAACTTAGCCCACTTCTCCCACTCCTCATTGTAACACCCCCTCCTCTTTCTGCCTTTCCTCCATCTTTCCTATCTTTCCTTACGCTTCTTCCTCCTCTGCTCTTTTCTCCACTCAAGCCTTCACAGCACTGCCACACTGGATCAGCTCACTCTAATTTGACTCCTACACAGCAGTCAGTGAGCGGGAGCACAACCACTATGTCTTGAATATACGAGTGGTTGAGCCTGGGAGGGGGCTGTGCTTCACGGACAGAATACAGTACAGTGTGAATAGAATATACATTGTCCTTATGTAACCAAGGCTGTTCTCTGTGGCAGGAACATCATGTACGTGCATACATCAAGCTTAGTTTTCTCAGCTCTGCTAATGCTTTCTTTTTCCTAAGCGCCAGTATCTATTTCCATCTCGTCTCCATGGCTTCTGGCACACCAACATGCAAAATGCAGCCTTGTATTCTGATTAGCATCTCTACGGCTTCAACTGTTTCCAACTCTCACATAAAAACTCATTAAGATGTTTGTGCATCAAAGAGTGGGAGTGTGTGTTGTGTAAACGTGTCTGTTGTGTCTGTGTAGCTACTGTGTAGGGCCTAAATATTGAATTTTGGTAGTGGTTGTATGGTAGGGGAGATGGTAACCCTTGTTAAAGGTTAGGACTGATATGAATGACCTCCTCTCCGGACTTACATTGACTACTCTAAGACCTTTGACCCCCTCCCAGATAATGCTCTGGTCTTGTGTTCACAGGCAGCTGAGATGGGGGGAGGTGTGTTGGGGTATGGGGTTTCGGCAGCTGTTTTAAGTAAGAAAAGCTTTAAAAACCCTAGCTGGTATTTCCTTCAGGAGTTGGAAGAGACCAAAAACAGAACTAAAAAAGTGAAAATTGGACTTACATTTGCAAAGTAGCCAGAAACACAGCTCAAAATGAATGATAATGTTGCTTCTTATCCGTAAATATGTCAGGAAAAAAATATTCTGTTTATCTGCGGTTGGGTCGCGGTGGAAGCAAGTTCAGCAGGGTATTCCTATCGTTGCTCTCCCCAGCAACGTTTTTCAGCTCCTCCTGGGGGATCCTGAGACTTCCCTAGGCTAGACAAGATATGTAATTCCTCCAGCAAGTTCTTGGTCTCCACTGGAGTTCCCTCCTTGTTGGTTATTTCTACACAAAGTAGCAGCAGCTCTACTCCGAGCTCCCTCCGGATGTGCAGACACCTCTCTAGCAGAGAACCATGGCCTCAGACTTGGAGGTGCAGACTGCCCTGGTGTGTGCTGAAGGTCACGGTCTGATAACGCCAACAGAACCATGTCATCTGCAAAAAGCAGAGATGCAATTCTGATGTTCCCAAACAGGACACTCTCCATGAGGAAAAATACAGTACAAGTGACAGTACACTCATTATTTTTTACATTACTAAAGCATAAAATGGCCTATTGATATTGTTCTTGTATCCGTGGAACACGGATACAAGAACAGAAGATCAATATCAATATCAGAGCAAATATCCTATTTTAATAAATAGGATATTTGCTAAAATATCCTATTTTAATAAATAGGATATTTGCTCTGTGCAGTCGATATCAGGCGAAGCCAAAACGTGAAATTGTGAAATTGAAAATATGTGGCATGCCTAGCTAGAGACATATGACTGAGACTCATAAGACAGTACATAAAGGGAGTCTCTATTCTTTCCTCTGTAACATGACGGCACGAGTTGCTACGGTGACAGCGTGACTGCTCATTTTTGCAGCATCTGTCAGCTGAACACAGGCGCATACATACACAAATAAAAGACACACAAAAACACATAAGGACAGGCTCTTCAAGCCAGGGGGGGCAGAACAGAGCGAGTTCTTTGCCGTTTAAAGGCAGATAAGAGAAACGCCAACTGCTCCACAACAGCCTCGGCCAACAATCAGCCACAACTGATTTAGTCTCAGCTCTCTCATTACAGGACCTGGAGCCTGTGCTGCCAGATTCAGCCCGCTAATTCACTTCATCAGTACCAATACGGACATAGGAACAGCTGGGCTGAAGCGTTTTGCTATTTCAATCTTGTGTAAAATATGTAAATGACAACATTCACAGTGAGGTGGCCAGCCGCAGCAGCAGAGCTAAAAGAAGCTCTAGTGACAGCAGCAGGTAATTTCCCTTCTCCGGGCAACATTATTATGCGGCATTGTTACTTCTTACCATAGAGTCTCTGTCTGTTGAGGGTGATTTATTACAGATAGCACACAGTATGTTTATGTGTGCACAGTAGAGATAAGATTAGAAGAGAGAGCAGCCATTGGCTCCATTTGCTCTCTGGAGGCTGAGGGATGCCGTCTCTCCCTCTAGCCTATTGATCCACAGGTCAGCTCCGACTCAGAGGAGAGTCTTGGTTGAGCGACTCTCTGCAGCCCACAAACCTTCAGACTTTAGCATACTGCCCAACTCTGTTAAGGCGGCACATTCACCTAATCCTGTCCAGGCCATTAGATCAGTTGGAGCTGGGCAGCCAGGTAACACAGAGCTTCATCTAATCTTGGAGCTGACCGGCGGCAGGAAGTCTGCAGCTACTGTTGGGAACAAAGTGGTAATTCAGTTGGCTGAGAGGAGCTGAGCCGTGGACCTGTCAGCCTCTCCGGCCTCTCTGAATGTGTTCATGCTGGAATGTGCTGTATGTTCACATGGCGAAGAAGAGCTCTCATGCCCTGAGGTATTACAGCCAAGAGGCCCTGTAAATGTCATGTACATTAAACTGTGGTGGTCTGAAGTAAAGCAGAGAAAATTAGGCCTTTACTTTGGCTCCATCTTTAGTGTTCATCTTTCTTTGCTGAAGTGTTTCTCCTCTGCACTTTCTAGACATCACCTGTCAGTGAAACTGCGTGGGCAGTACTTCATTTTCTTTGCATTTTCTCCAGATAAAGTTTGAGCTTCTTTGAGTTTTTTTGTTCATCCATCCATAGTAGCTGTCACTGCCAGAAACATAGAACACAAGTTCCTGTGCTTCGGGAAAGCCCCGACCTGAAGCCCAATCTTTGGAATAATACTTTAAAAGCTTTTAGGGACCTGCTGTTGGAGTGCTGCAGTTGATTGACATGGGGTACGTAACATTGCTGGCTTCATCAAGCTGCTACTGTTTGTAAATGTTTACTCAGACGTGACACGACATTTACAGAAAGAAATGATGCTCACGCGATATTTGCCATCTTGTGCGTGAGGGGGGAACAGATAGAGAGGAGGAAAACAGTTGGAAAGTAATTATGTGAAGGAGCAAGAGTTTTCTGTTCTCTCACAGGCTGCATTAGTGATCAATTTGAAAACAAATAATGAATTGTCTCATCAATTTCATCACTT